TGACTGACTCACTGGTTAGTTGATTCAAAACTGAATAATGACTGACTAACTAACATACTCACTAACCTCCTAATTAGCTGACTAATGATTAACTTAGTGACTGACCCACTGCTCCAATGACCAATTCTGAACAAGTGACCCACCGACCAATTGAATTGCAACTGACTGCCCTACACACTGACTTACCGGCCACTTGATCAACTGACTAACCTTCTGACTCACCGACTGCCAGACTCACTGACTGACCCAGTGAAATTCAGACCAACTGACTCATTAGCCCAATGATCAATATTATCTGTCTTAATCTTTCATTCAGCAATCCATCTACATTATGGAATAGTAATGTCTGTTTCAAAAAAAATAACAAAGGAACCAAAAAAAAAAAAGAACTTCACCCTTTTTTTTTTCTCCTGTCAATATCAAACATCTGTAAGGAGTACTGTATTACAGAATATCTGCGTATGAGTGGAGTGTATTGGGGTTTGACAACAATGTTCCTAATGGATAAGCAAGATATGATGGAGAAAGATGAAATCATCTAGTTTGTCAAGTCTTGCCAACATGAAAATGGTGGATTTAGCGCCAGTCATAACCACGACCCTCATCTGTTGTACACTCTGAGTGCCATTCAGGTATGTTGGACTGAAACACTTCATAAAATCTTTCTTCATTTTGACCTTAATTTGAAGGCTGCTGTAGTTTCTTTTTAAAAATTTGTTACGGAAGGGTGGTAATTTCCCCTCTTTCATTATTCATGTTTTCCAACATTGAACTTCTTGCTCTAAATTCTAAATTTAAATTTTCAACCATTTCAATTTCATTTGAGAAACTGTAAAGGGAGTTTAAATTCTGGTACATTTGCTATTTAATCTTTTTCTTCCATTCTTTTGCTTGATAACACCCAAAATGATTACTACTTCGTCAAAGGACACATAATCTTCTTCACCTTATCCCTAGAGCTTGAAGATCACTTCAGATTTATTTATCACATCTATATTTTAGGTTCTCTCACTTTATGGATGCATTGAACTAATTGATGTCAATAAGACAGTGGACTATGTATCAAGACTTCAGCAAGATGATGGATCATTTGTAGGGGACAAGTGGGGTTAGTTTAAACATTTCCTATGTTATCATTAAAATCCAGTTTAACTTTTTCCCACACTGCTGAAGATCTTGTAATTACTTCATGTCATCCTTCAGTAGCATTTCAAAATGGTTAAATACATATAGTTTCTCATGAGACTTTAAATTGCTGTAAAGTTAATTATGAGTTTTAACTCATTTTCAGTTTTTTAGAGCTTTTGCTGGTCCATGATGTTATCATCATCATCAGAAACCTGATGAAACTGTGGATTGGCAAAAGATTGGAGATTTGTTTTTAACTTTTTTTTAATTTTTTACTGTAGTTGAAGGCCTCACTGGAAACTATTATACCATGAAAATGTTGTACTTAGGGTTCATACTGCCGCCCAGTTAGGGTTCAAAC